TTCCCATGGGGGATTGCGCCCACCCAGGACAGGGGTGGGGAGGAGGTGAGGAGCCAGTGCAACCAAGCCCTTCGCTGCCCTGATTTGGCTGGGAGGGGCTCCGGAAAGTCGGGGGGCACATGGGAAGCAGCAGCTGGACAGACGGACGGACAGACCCTGCTGCGTACACTCTTGCAAGTGGTGTTTTTAAGCAAAGTACAACACTCCCCACCCCCCTCGAATGTCTGCAAACAGCTTTTACCACCCAGCCCCAGGCATATGGTTTTGCACAGCAGGAGTGAAGCCAAAGGCGTAGACTGCTCCTTCCACCCACCCTGCCCATATGAGGTTTCTCCCCAAAAGCTGTTTTTCCTGCACGCTGCATTTTGGCAACACCTTCAGCTTATCCACAGGACACATTGGGGCAGTGACTCGAGATGCCCAGGGCCACCTTGGCAACTCCCTGGAAGCAGGGGCTATGGGGAGGGGGCTCCTGAGCCCCCCCGCCAGCCCCACCTGCTCCCAAAAATGCTGGCACAGCGGGTGCCATTTCAGCCCCGATGACCCCATCAGGCTGACAGCAGCACCGGGGCAGGAACGAGCCCCAGGGCAGGGTGAGTCCCCCCAGTTTCCCATACATGGCTTCCCACACATCTCTCCATCAGCGTGATGCCGCGGTCACCACATCAGCTGAGAGCTATATAGTTATTTTTTTAACCCTGGTGCCAGCATCAGGGCGAACAGGAATGGCAAGTCAGCGGAAGCGTTAAAAGGCAGCACTAAAAAAAAAAGGAAGAGAGGGGACACAACAATGCGCAGCTTGTTTCTGAGCTGGTCCTGATGGACACGAGCATCTCCCACAGCCCCATGCTGGAGACCGGACCAGCAGTGTAAGGATGCTGCTGGCAACAGCATGGAGGATTTTGCTGGTCTAAAGGACACCAGTGGTTTGGACCTTCACCTTTCTGGCTCATGGTGGCTCTCAGCTCAGTGCTTAGTCCTGGTTCTGCTCAAGCTGAAACTCAGGCAACAAGTGCTGGGCCAGAAAAACAATTAATAACAATAATAATGCCCATCTGCTGAGGGCAGAGGGAGCTTCTCTGAGTGGAAAGCATTGCCATGGGGTAAGCAACCGGAGCAACCAGTACCCTCTGAGCTCTCCTCCATATTTCAAAGCTGTGCCAGAACCACTGACCCCAGGCAGCAGGACATCGGACGATGCCATTTTCAGCAAAGCCCTGGCACAGAGTGGGGGACAAGGCAGGGATGCTCCCACGCTGCCACGGTGGCCCCCGGCCAACCAGTGCTGCCCCATCCCTAGCTGCCAGGCCCCTGGGGTGGGGTGAGCTTTGCTCATGGGGGTCTAGCACCAAGCTCCAGACCTAGCAGGGCTGTGGCGCATTACGCAGAGCCCCAGAGCATGCTGGCTAAGCCGGCCAAGCCTGGCAAGCAGGTTGTGATGTAAACCCTGGGGGTGGTGGGGTGGGCCCTGGCGCCCTAGTTCCTGCCTGGGCATACGCCTCTGTTAGAGCAAAAAAACGTAAACGCATTCTTGCCAGCATCCCAATCCTCCTCGAAGGTGTGCAGCGGCCCATGGGCCCACAGCCCCACCGAGCTGTGCCGTGGCATGCAGCAGAGCCACCACTGCCAAGAGCAGCCACTGGCTTTCAGGGCAGGCGTTGCCCGAAGGACGGACGTGCCGAGCGTGGGTGAACTTTCCTGCTCTGCCTGTTGCCAGCTGGAGCACCTCACCTTGTCCCCCCCCACCATCAGGCCACACGTGCTCAGTCACGATTCCTCCACCGCAAAGCCAGAACCAGGGCAGGTCACATCGGAGCCTGGGATAATAAGGGCACAAAAGGGGTTTTTCCATCTAAAAAGGGTTTGGGGTTTTTTTGCCTACAACAGCAGGGCTCCACAGCTTCCCTGGGGAAATTTCCCCCAGAATAAGTCCTTTCCCCTGGAGCAGGGACCAGGGTGGGAAACAGGCTCTTCCCAAGCTGTTTCCTGGGGATGGGCAGGGGATGAGCCAGGTACCCCCCAGGTATCACCTCCTCACTCTTGTCAGGAGGATACCCAAGAACAGCAGCCTAAGCTCATCCACAGGAGGATTTCCTCACTGAAAGTCAAAGTCCAGATGAAGAGATGTCTCTAAAGTATTGCACCTCCTCATCCTACCCCAAGCTCGGCAAGCCGCAAGGGAAAAGGCTTCCTGCCACCTGCACCTCTTACGAGGCCCTGAAGGAAAGGGGCAGCATCATGTAGCACCATGCAAGGACAACAAAGTGGTTTCCCCCAGATCACAAGTATGCAGCCAGATCCTGGCACCAAGGCAGCACTCTTCTCCCCTCTCTGCAGGGACATCCCATCAACTGGCCTCCCTCCTTCCACGCCCTGGTAAAACACCAGCTCCATCCAAATCCCTGAGTTCCAGGGAAGAGAGGGAGCAAACCACTTTTTGCTCCAAGATCATCTTTAAGGGCAGAAGTTGCAATGTTCACATGCAGGTGGGCAAGAGGTAAAGCAAACAGTGGTGCCACCTGCCCCAGCTCTCCTCTGGTCTAACTCCAACACCACAGAGGTGAAAGCACGCTATGGAATTTAAACACCATAGCTGTGAATATTCTGGGGTCCAGAGGGGTTTTCCAGACTCTGCTCAGGTCCTACCCCCAGGTCTGGCCTTACCTTGGTAGGAGCCCATGCACACAGAAAGGATCAGCACCCAGCCACTCCATTTGCTCTCCATGCCGTTCCTAAGATAGATCTCAGTGGCTGGTTCCTCTCCTGTGCTGCTCCCAGTCTGAGGAATCTTGGATGGGCTGGGAAGTAGTGAGAACCCACACCTACGCAGGGCAATTACCACACCCCTCTCCTTACACCTTGATTATAAAATCATCACCAGCCTGCAAGTGGAGGGAGGGACCAGACTCAGGCAGGTATTCCCGGGAAGTCAAAACCAGCCCAGAACCTGCTGCTCAACACTAACCTCACCACTCCTGGCTGCAAAGGGTGGGCATGGCTGGGAAAACTGTCCTAGTGTCATGGGATATAGCCATTTTCTGAATTAGAGTATCACCCCTTTAGAAAAATAAAAGATGTGCAGTGCAGATCTTGAAGACCACTAAAGTAAGTGAATTAATAGTATATTTAGAGGCAGCCAAGTGATTTGCTTAAACCATTTAAAAGACATTGATTTTATTCAAAATGAAACAAGGAATAAAGACAAACAGAGAGCCACGTTAAATGCAAGTCAGCACTGAAGGCCGATACCAAGCAGCTTCAGCAAGAACTCCCTCCAGCCTGCGCAAGGGTGACATTGCAACACAGGGCTGTTGCCTCACATCAGGCGTTGCGCTCATCAGGGAAGAGCAGCGGTGGCAATCCTTGGCAAGCTGCCTTCACCTCAACCTAACAACAGCTTGATGGGACACGCTTCTTGCAAGGCAATGGCAACTCAACAGGAACCTGAATCCTGCCACTCAGCCCCAGATTCCCAGTGACACTTTGGGACACACCTTCTCCTGGCTCTGCAGAAAAGGGGAAGCTAACAAGATCCTTTAGCTACTAGCACACAACAAGAAAATGAAACACACAACTCAGTTTACAGAAGTTTTTATTGTTCATTAAGGAAGCCTTTGTGCAAAAATCAAGACAATGTTCTTTAGAAAGCAACTGCACATATCCCCCCCCCGGCATAACTCAAGTGGGTCAGGTGCCACGGTCCACAGGAAGGGAGAAAACTAAAGAGACTCCCAGTGCTAGCACAGGACTTCCCCCGGCTCACCTTGCCCCACAGGTCACTAGCATGAATCCATCACTACTAAAAACCCAAGAAAATTAAAACCTTGCCAACATGTAAGAGCAAGTGTCAATCCATCCCCACCTCCCCCCCCAAAAAAAATTCATGTTAAGAGAACACCATCCAGTTTCGAAGATCAAATACCGTACTACATGCCGTGGTGTAACACAACCTATACCTCCAGGGCAGCAATGCTCCACAGAGCCCATTTCCTATCTGGCAGATCTACCCCAACCAGGATACACCACTGGAACCAATGCACAAGCCTGCCAAGACAGAAAGCTGCAGGTATTTTACATCTTTAGGGAAAATTCTTTTTCTTTTCTTTTTTTTTTAAAGCCATGAGTGCTTCAGCATTCTGTACAAACACAAACAGGAAAGACAAACCAGTATTGCTACTGGTCAACATTGCCCAGACATTTAGTATGTACACATAGTAACAAAAAAGCTGCAGTTGAGTGGTTTTCCATTAAACTGCGTGAAAAGGAGTTTGCTTGTTGCTAAAGCATTGTCATTGGAGCTCCCACCTCACCCAAGACACCACAGGAACAGAAGCAGTTGCTGGCACCTTTCCAAACAGGACTGGAATTTTCAAAGCTCCACCTCTGCCCAGCCCCTCCTTCACAAAGGTCTCCTCAGAGCTACTTTGGTGCCTCTATTTTGGGGGTTAACTTGATCAGAACTATGCACTAAATGCTGGTACTGAATACAAGGTCCACTTCAAGCAACATAAGCATGATTTTCATTCTTGAAGCCCCTACACCTCAAGGGCCTGACTTGTTTCCAGGGTAGCAGCCTGCCTTGAAAGGCTGTTGTTCAGAAGTTCAGGCCATTTCTGTGGGATGCTGCAGAGCACGAAAGGCAGGTTGTCAGGTAAGCCAGCAGAGCTGCCAAGTACCTGCTACAGTGCTCTTACCACCTGCCATCTCCACTTGCTGCTCAGACACATTCCTCCCAACAGAAATGGTAACTCTGGAAAAAAATTTATACGTCAAACTAAGAAGGGCGAGCGTCAGCAAGAGCAGGTGGCAGCAATGGAAACTGCCTGGAAGCCTCATAGCGCCTCTGAAGTTTTAGATGACTGAAATATGCTATGAGAGAAAAACAAACCAAGGAACAAACCAGTGGTTTACAATAAAAAACACTTTTCCATGCATTCTGCCCCCTGTGCTGAACTCACTTTGACTTATGCACAGCCCCTGCTGACTTTTACCCCTTCATCGTCTACCAACCCCGCTCACTCCACCCTTTTGGCACCCGGCTGGCTGCATGTTGGAAGCTGCAAGGCAAAGCAGAACTGAGCAACTAGGATAAGAAAAAAAGAGAGGCATTCCTTAAGCACGTCAGCATGCTTCAAAAGACTGAAATCCCACTGTACAGGGCTTGACAGCAGAACACCCATGCTTAGATCAAGTAATTCAAGGAAATCAAAACATGATCAAAGGTTGAGGGAGGATTTTCCTTAGCTATGATAACACCACGAGCTGTAAGTGTGGTCACTCAAATGCAAAAGCGTGGTCACTCAAATGCAAATACATCTTTTTAGGTACCAGTTAGTTTGAAAGTTAGCTGGGTACACAAAGTCCCCTCCTCGGCATCTGTAGAGCTTCAAAAATTCCAGCCAAAACGATTCCAAGATTCAACATCATCCCTTAGAGTTCCCCTATGGTTACAGAGAAAATCAATTCCAGCCAGATGTCAAAAATGCAAAGCATGTAATCTTCCCAATGCTGACTACAGAAAGACATTTGAAAGTTTAGTCGCAATCCTGTTCTTTTTTTAAATTAAAAGATAATAGTCTTGTCTCATTTCACCTTCTCTGCCATTCTTCCCGGCACCTAAAAAACACTTCAGCCTACCAATTAAAAATCTACAACACACTATTTTTAGGAGCATGACAAGTTAAACTGTACAATCAGAAATATCTTTGTTAAGTCAACAATGAAGATCTGATCCTTCAACAGCAGCACTGCTACAGAATTGTTACAATAAAGGAACTTGAAGGTCAAATTGTTAATGAGGCAGAGAGAAGGGACATTTGAGATACAGCTCTCTGCCAACCTCGGCCCACATCTTTTACGAGCCATGGCGAACTTTCAGAACTGGAAATTCTTCTTCTAGTTCCACACATGACGTTTGCAGTGATCAACAGCCTAAAGGGAAAGAAAATATTGTGCATTAGCGGAACAAAGCCTGTTCGCAAAAAAGTGTGCATCTACACATGCAGTTCAACACCTTATTCTGAGCCAAGATCTTGGAAGCAAATCTGTTTTTCTTAAAGTAAGCGATTCCAGAGAGGACTAGAATAAATAACATCCTCATCCCCACCCAGAAGCTTCAGGAAAGAATGCTGATGACCCTCAGCCATTAAGGCCTGGCAAAGAAAGCATCAGCCCACAGCAATACTAGAAGCCAGTTTTTAGAGCCTGATTAGAGGTCATGACATGGTCTGTTGGCTGCAGGAACACACACTAAACATAAAGCTCACGTTGTCCCTTACTGGAGATTCTAAAATGCTAGCAGATGTATAGGGGATAGGAACAAAAGGGAGAAGAAACAGTCTGCTTTAAGAAAGCTAAGGGCTATGGAAGACCCTCTAATCAAACTCAACCACCTCTAGCTAGTACCCTTTTGCTTCCCAAAACTGGAATTCATCCACTTGAAAGTGTGACGTAGAAGCCAGAAAAGTAGTTTGTAAGGAGCTATCAAAGACCAATAGGAAACTTAAGGCAGAATCCTGCTTTACATACATTGCACTGAGCAGCAGTCTCCATGTTCTTACACCAGTAACCTGGACCCCAGACACAAGCATCATCCCCCAGGAGAGGCTCTTTAGCTGATCCACACACTCCAAGTTTCTGTGAAAAGACCAGCAGCAGAGTCAGCATCTTTCCATTTGCACCAAGAGATCTCAACTCCAGCCTTACGTCTGAGCTTCCACCTGACTAAGTGTGGAAGCAGCACTGAGGTAGCTTCAGGAGCTCCCACAGTACCATGCAAAACTGACAACTGCAGCCATGCTTGCAGCTGAATGAGTAGACATGAAGCAGTAATCTAACACGAGGAAGAATTAAGGTACCACAACCATTTCTTCATATTAAGTTTTGAGAAACAGAGCTTCTAGAAAAAGATATTTCTCAAAAACTGTAATTTAACTTCCTCTCATCGCATTCAGGGCACATGACACCATGTTACTGAACCTCAGCAGTGGATAACCTAACCACTGGCAGCTCTTTTCTTCTACCCTTCCTTGCACAGGGCTGGCAGTCACACAGCTGTCCATTCACTGAGGCCGAGGCCTTGCACAACCACACTTGCCCCAAGCATTCAGCGTGCTGATTTTTATTCCAGCATAGTTTCTGCATGCTGGGCACTGAAAGGAATATGGAAGAGTAGGCAGGACTGTATCAGAGCCCGTACTCACTAGAACAAAACGCAATACTCACAGTGCAAACAAAAGTGGGATCCATCATTTCTGCCAAGAGTTGCACAACCACGGGTTCATACTGTTCCACAAACTGCACACACTGTAACAAAACACAGGTTGAGAGATTCTCCTGTTAAAGCCTTAGAAAGAAGGGGAAGAAACGGTCTCCAGCAGCAGGCAGGCCTGTTACACTACTCCAAACACCCTGATAATACACTCCAAACTGATAAACCAGAGGCTTGAGCTGTGCAGACTGAAAAGGACTCAGCATCACACTAATCACACAACTGCATCATTTTTTGCTAGCACATACCTGCCTGCAGCCAGTCACGATGAGAAAGGGGTCAAAAGGAAAAGAGCAAAGCAGGACAGACTTTGATTAACAAAGCTGAGTCTCTAATCGTGGAGATCCCTGCTGTCTCAAGAAGACAGCACACTGAACAAGCTGGAGACAAACGCACTGAACAGGACGGCAGCCACGCAGTAATGACTCCTATGCACTTTTAGCCCAAGTAGTTAC